AAATGAAAAAAATACTATTTATTTAATACTATTTATCAATTTCTATTATAGAAGTTACTTTTAATATACAAATTGTAAAATCTTTTCTCCGATCAATTTGAGTATTTTTATTGATATCTGTCAATGTTTCTCAAAAATGTTCTCGGAAAAATGTTCCGAAGAGATAAACCGTATACTATACATTTTTAACGATAAAAAACTAGCTTTCATGAATAATGCCTGCATAAATATTTCTAGGTTAGGTTAGATATTAAAAAGGTTCGTCAATTTTTACGTTCGGAAAATATTCGAGAAGTTATTTGTCAAGAATCTCTTGCTTGCGGACGAGAAAAAGGAAAAATATGTACAAACTTGGTGACTTTTGTAGAAGACGAGGAAAAATGTCATCGTTACCGAAGGGGAAACATTCCTCATGCCCGAGAGGAATTCTCTTGTATGACTGCATTGCGCACATATTGTAATTATCTAAATGAAATTTTGAGAAAGATGAGGACAAAAACTGCTTTTATGATTATAATTTAGATTTACTTTGCAAAAATAATAGAGGAGAAAGAAAACTAAACTTATGGAACGGAAGGAAATGTGGTGTGAATTTGGTCACGAAATGGTAAGCAAGGTTGGATAACTACGCGTCAGTGGTTGTTCCAACAGGGTTGGGAACTTCCAGTACTACACGTATATTAATGGATTTTCACAACTATTGTTGAAAATTGAAAACTAAAGGCGCTTGCACACTTCCAAAATTTTGGGCGAGCAGCGAATTTTCATGGCCTTGAAACTCATATTACTAAATATGATTGGCTCTACAAAAAGCTGCGTGAAAATGTACTTTGTCAGAGCCAATCATATTTAGTAATGTGCATTTCAAGGCCGTGAAAATTCGCTGCTCGCCTAAAAATTTGGAAGTGTGCAAGCGCCTTAAGTAACCTTCTGTTTATAACTAACGTAGAACTAAAATATTTATAAACAGCATACAAATTGCGAATATCTATTTAACTTGAATATTTATTTACTATTTTAGTTTTCATTGTGAAAAAATAAATGCGATTCTGGCTGGACGTAGTCCATGCTTTAGACGGTGTGGCCGTACCTTAATTTACCGTTACAGTTACAGTGTAACACTACTGTTAAAAAAAAGAATATTTGTCAATTGTAATAAAATATAATTAATTTACTTGCTTTTAAACTTATATACTACGATTAAAACTGTTAATTTAATAAAAATATTGTATTTTACAGGAGAAAAATATTGAGATTACGCTAACTGTACAACCCTGCAATAGAAATTTCACTAACCAATCAGAAACGTTCAACGACTTCCAAAACGTAACTACCCAACCTTGTTGTTGATTGTTGTGATGTCGGTCGTTTCCCACTTCGCGCCAATTTTCCCGAAAAGAATCAAGTCAGTCATCAAATAATGTGTTTAATTATAAAGAGGAAAGAAGAATAATGTGTTAATTATATTGTTTTCACTCCAACAATTGAGAAACCTAAAGAAGTATGCACCGTGTTAAGAAATACTAAAGGTAAAGAAAGTTATTTTCCGTTTGTACATATACGAGTACATCTCGTCTTTTTTTTGTGCCATAAAACCCATAAAGTTTTTGAGAATTGAAAAAGATTTATTAGCGAACAAATAAATGGGCGGTATTAGCTAAGAATGCAAAATGGGTGAAAAGAGAGAATGAAAAAAAAAGGACGATGGGTGCAGAATTTTTCATAATTTGCACTTTGCAGCTTCTGGTGGGCAACGCACAACCACAACGCCCACGGTTGAGAGGGATAACGAGGCAAGAGTATCGTTTGAGAAGGTGAGGCATGGCAATGGACCTCGGTTTTTGAAAGAGAGAGACATAATTGATATCTCTGAAAGTGAAGTAGGAGGCGACGTTAAAAGAAGAGAAGAGTTATCCTGTAGGAAATTACAACAGCGTTTGAGAGTCAACGAGGACACGAAAAGTCAGATGGACCACCACGATTGTAAGCAAAAGATCTTTTTGCAGGCCGACCTTAAGACCCTGCCGGCTATATGCTTGTGTGTGTATATAACCTGACCAACGTTCTCATTTAACTCCCTCAGCGGCATCGTAATCTCGCGCACAACTCTGAACAAACATAACCCTATACCTCTCCACACAAAACATAATTGCTAATCACCACTTGCCATAGTCCATGATCTTTTGTCCTTTAATTTTCTTTCCGCTCTTGATCTTTCCGAAACCCAAAATCTATACAGGTGATAAGAATTACAATCTGCATTCATTAAGGCTTAATTTCTCACTCAATTTACAATTATAGTTGTTAATAAAATTTATCATTTTTCAGATTCAGCAATACAATTATGTACTTCTTGACTATAGTGGTTTTTGACTGTCAATAAGTTTTTCTTGATTTGAGGAAAATATAACCAGGGCTCAAACTTGGACCGTAAATCCCGCAAAGGTCCGTAAATTTGCTTCAAGTCCCTAAAAGTCGCAGTTTTTTTCAAAAAAAGGTCAGTAAAGTCCGTAAATTAATTGAAAACGGACGAAAAGTTCGTAAATTGTACGATATAATTTACAGAATTTTAGATAAATTACAAATGATTGCAGAAATTTAATTACTTTCAAAGTAATAAAATTCTTTGCAGAATTTTAACTATATGTTCAAAAATTTTTTTAAATTCTTGTCAAAATTTCTATTATTATCTTTAGAAATAATAAAATTCTGCTCCAAAATTAAATTATTTTCAAAAATTTTGGTAAATAAAATTGTTGGCAAAATTTCAATTACTTTCGAAAATTTTCCTCTTTGCAATGATTTTCAATATCTACTATTTTAATAAAATTTTCCGAAAAAATTCAATTAATTAAAACTTTTTTAATAAAATTCTACGCCAACATTTAATTATTTTCATAAAAAAATAAAAATTTCACTGGAATACAATTATTTACAAATTTTTTATAAATTTCTTCGCAGTAATTCAATTATTTTCAAAAAAAAAATAAAATTTTTACAGGGGTTCAATTATTTTTTGTAAATAATAAAATTCTTTTTAGAAATTCAATTATTTTCATAAATAATAAAACTCATTGCAAAATTTCAATTATTTTTAATACAATTTTAATCAAATTTCTCTAAAGAATTTAATTATTTCTAAAAAATTTTTTTAAATTCTGTTCAAGAATTCAATTACTTTTACAAAAAATTATAAAATTTTTCATAGAAATTCAATTATTTTCATAAATATTAAAATTCTTCGAAAGAATTTAATAATTTTCATAAATTTACATAAAATTCTTTAAAATAATTCAATTATTTTCAAAAATTATTTTAATAAAATTCTTTGCACCAATTCGAGTATTTTGATAAATAATAAAATTCCTCGCCGAAATTAATTATACATTAAATACAGTTTTAATTAAATTTATAGAAAGAATTCAATTATTATTAATATCTTAATAAAATTTAATAAATACCAATTAATTGATTTACAATACAATTATAATTAAATTTGTCTAAAGTAATTTTAGGAATTCAATTATTTTTAATGCAAATTTATATCAATTGCTCGAGAAACGTAATTATATTTAAAAATTTTACTTAAATTCTTGGAAAGAAATCTATTTTTAAAAATTTAAATAAAGTTTTTGTCAAAATTTCAATAATTTTCCAAAATTGTTCTCAATTCAATGATTTTCAATATCTAAGCTACATATTTTAATAAAATTTCCAAAAGAATTCAATTATTCAATAAAATTCTACGAAAACATTTAATTATTTTTATAAAATAATAAAAATTCCACAGGAATCCAATTATTTGCAAATTTTTTATTAATTTCTTCGCAATAATTCAATTATTTAAAAAAAAATACAATTTTTACAGGGATTCAATTATTACTTTTGTAAATAATAAAATTCGTTTTAGTAATTCAATTATTTTCATAAATAATAAAACTCATTGCAGAATTTCAATTATTTTTAATACAATTTTAATTGAATTCCTCGCAAAATGTATAATTATTCTTAAAAATTTCACTAAAATTCGTCAAGAGAATTCAATTATTTAAAAATTTGTTGATTAAATTCTTTATGAGAATTCAATTTTAAAAAACATTCAAATATTCAATAAATTATTTATTTTTGTATTTAAATAATTGATTTATAGTAGAATTTTCTAAGAAAAATTGTTTTAAAAATAAATTTCTATTAAAAACAAATAAATTTGAAAATTCTTTAAAATTATTAAAAATAATGGATTTATAGAAAACTCATCGCAGAATTTCAATTAGTTTTAATACAATTTATTTTAATTGAATTTTTTGGAAAATGTAATTATTAAAAATTTTATTAAAAATCGTCGAAAGGATTCAATTAATTAAAAAATTGTTTATAAAATTCTTTATGAGAATTGAATTTTAAGAAACATTCAATTCTTCAATAAATTATTTATTTTGGTATTTAAATAATTGAATTCTAGTAGAATTTGTAATAAAAATTGATTTAAAAATGAAATTAGTTAAAATTTTAGATAATAATTGAATATTACAAGAAATATATTTTTAGAAATAATTGAAATTTGAAATTAATTTTTTTGAAAAAATTTAATTGCAACATTTTTTTTATATTATTTAAAGTTTTTATTTTCTAATATTTATTTAATTGAAGGGTTTACGAATCATTGAATATTGTAAACAAATGGATTTGAAAATTATCAAAGAACTTTTTCGAAACTTAATTGATTTAAAGAAGAATTTTGGTTAAGAATTCTTATATAGTTCTTAGTAATTGGTCCGTAAATGGTTCTTAATTTTTCATTTTTGGTCCGTAAAGTCCGTATTATTAAATACTTTAACTGGTTCAAGCCCTGTATAACGAATTAATTAAACATTTACGAATTTATTTTCACAAAATTCCGTTTTGTAAACAGGTGTTTATATGTTTAGAGGTAGCCGAAAAGTGACAAACGACATTTCTGAAATGTCTAATAAGCTGTAAATAATTAAAATTCGTGGATATTAGCGCGTGCCGAAGAAAATGACACTGATGCGAATCTCAGTGGGTGGCCTCAGGGTCCATAGATATCTTCGTTCCGGTACCTTTTGTAGCTTCTTGTAATCATGTAATGGGCCGCCTACCAGGTTCTAAATTAACAGCAAATTAGTGCCGCGTCTACGTCTTTTATATATTTCATCAAGATCATTTCTCTCATAACTTTAATATAAGGCAAAATTCGCTCATTCTTCTGTGAATTCGTCTTCTAATGACGAAATATTTTTTCAATACAAATTCAGGCCTTGGATAATTATCACTTTTTCGATTTTTTACCACTATCTTCAAAAAATACGACTTTTTCGACTTATTTTAAAAAATTACTACTTTTTTTTACTTCTCTTACAAATATTGCAATAAAATATCATATGCTTGGTATAAAATTCAGTTTATTTCGATTTTTATATACAGTGTGAAAAATAATAGACCAATTCTTTCAAAAATTAGTTTTGAATAATTTTTCTAATTAATTTTTCGAAATATATACAATTAAAAAGTTTTTGAAGAATTGATATCTTGTAAAATTTAATTGAAAATAATTGATTTTTTTATCAAGTATTTTATTACAATTTTTAAAAATCTACTTTTGAAAATTGAGTAAATACCTTCTAAAAATTATGTTAAAATGTTTTTGAAAAAATAATTAGAATTTTTTCATTCTAGTATTTTAAAATTAAATTATTTTGTAAAATTTAATTGAAAATAATTTATTTTTTTGAAGTATTTTATTACAAAAATTTTAATTATTAACTTCTTCCTCCATTAACATTAATATCAAATGATAAATTTCTTTCCTTTAATTATTTTATTAAAATTTTGGAAAATCATCTTTTGAAGAATTTTAATTGCAAATTTTTAAAATAATTGAATTCCCAAAAATTTTGATGAACAATTTTCAAATGTAAATTAAAAAATTAAAATTATTGAGTATAAAAATATTGAGATATTTATCATCTGAAAATTATATTAAAATAATTTTTAAAAAAATAATTAGAATTTTTTCATTCTACCTACTTTTTAAAAATTTAATTTGTTTTCGAAAAATTACATTACAATATAAAAAAAAGTATAAGAAATTGAATTTTTGTATTTAAATAATTGAATTCTCGAAGAATATTCGAAAAATTATTAAAGTTAATAGATTTCGAGATGAAGATGTTAAAAAATTGTAGAAAATAATTCAATTATGGAAAAGTTATAATTGAAATAATTTTTTTTTTAAATTGAAATTTGTTAAAAATTGACTTTTTTAGACTTGTTAAAATTTCAGAGAATTCATTTTCATATTTATAATTAAAAAGTTCTTAAAAAATTTGATTATCTTTTTTATATTTATGTCACAATTTCAATTATTTTTAAAAGATTGCACCAAATTTCAATTATTTGGAGATTTTTCAATTGTATATAATTGAAAAACTATATTATCTTTTAATAAGTATTGGAAAATATTTATAAAAAATTGATTTTAAGAATTTCTTTATTATAATTTTTTGAAAAAATTGTACCTTAATACCTTTAAAATTTCGGAAAATTATTAAAAATAATTTATTTAAAGATGAAGTTTTATGTAGTTAAAAATTGTAGAAAATAATTGAATTTCGTAAGAATTGTAGTTGTAATTTTTTAAAATTATTAAATTTCAAAAGGTTTTAAATTTAAATTTTTTAAATTTTATTTACCAGGGAAAAACAAATAAGAAGTATTTAAATATTTATTTAAGAAAATTGTTTAAGTTTTGAGTAATTGAATTTAGAAATCAGTTTTTTGTGCCCAGCCCTGCAAATTTAAAAATTTTTTTTATTTCAAAAAATCACTTTCTATCTAGAAATTACTTTATATAGAACAAGTTGAAAAGTCTTATTTTCCAATCAATTAAATTCTGATAATCTTCTCTTATTCATGTCCGTCAAAATCTTTCTTTAAAGAAAATATTTTTTCGACAAATTTAGTTTGCTGAAAAAAAATCTATTTTTTTCCTCGCCCTTACAAACAAATCCGATACACATCTCTCTCTCTATCGCTCTTGTGACACGTCAACCGAAATTTTGATTTTCAATGGTTAATCTTTGTATTTATTAGATGCAATTGGAATTTCGAGCTTCTTATAGTTGCCCTAGTCACCCTTTTGTGGCTTTCAATGAATAGGGGCAGAATCTAATCAAGCGTGAATAATCCAAATTTACCTGTTAAAGAAATCATCGTCAACAGGCCGTGAGGGGGTATGCGCGCAGTTTGAACGAAATCGCATTTACTTCTTTTTTTTCCTGGTTTGAGTTCAAAACGACTCTCGAGGACCATTCATGACACCGCTTTTGTTGTCAATGGAAATCTGAAAATGCGATTTCTTTCACTAACTTCCTGAATTGCCCTTCATACTTGTAATCGTTTCCTTTCACTCACTGACACACATGGACGCAATATAAGATTAATTTTTTTCTAAACAGTTTTATAATATAGTGTTGTGAAAAATATCTCATTTAAATGCTCCATTGGGATAAAGCTTTTAATGCCGGAGAAACTTAAATTAATTTTATATTAAAATTAAATTACCATTCGGTCTTTAATTAAATATAATTGAAATAAATTTACCTTTTTAATTTTAATTTAAGTAAATCAAGAATGGTAATTTAAATAAAACTAGAAAAATGAGGGAATAAATTAAGAAATTAAAAAAGTTTTAATTTTACAATTTAATAGAATTACATATTTTTTCTAAAGTTTAGAACGTTCAAGTTTACGAATTTTTTAATTTACAATTAAATGTCTACTTAGAACTGAAAGTTAATTTTATTCTAATTTCCAAAGAACGAAATTTTTTTATGGAAAAATATAAATTACATAACAGAAGTAGTAAAAAAATATCGTAGTTGATTTAAACGCTCTCGAAAATTTAGAAACATAATTAAATAGAGAATAGAGAAATAGGGAATTTAATTAATAAATGATTTATACGTGTTTTTAATTTTCAGGTTCATCTCATGAACAACTGGTATATCTCAATATTCTTTTGAGTGGATAATCAAATTGCCGTAAGCGAAACCACCTTGTTTGTGCTCATAAATCAGAAATAGTCTCTCAACCTCGGTCCTCCCACATAGATATATAAGGTAAGGTCCAAAACTATCTAAGCAGCACTTTGGCTTATTATCCCTAACCGTTAAGGATAATGAGGCAAAGTGCTGCCGACCAGACGATCCACCAGCTGTACCTGTGTGTCCTCAAACTCTGCGGTAGGTATAGTATTTGAAAAACCACTATATTCCCTTTAAAGAAAAAATTGTGCGGGAATATTCAACACTATAGATGCGTAGAGTTTGAGGACATTCTTTACAATATATTATTACTATTTTCCTCGAGATAGTAAATGATGTCTCAAAAATTGTTAAGTGATATTCTGTTTTTCTAAAAATTTATCGCAACGAGAAACATTTTTCAAAGGAAATAAATGTAGAACAATTTTTAAGCTTCAAAAAGATAATTTGACGCTTTTGTTTTTCCGAAAACATAAATTAGATAAAAAACAAAATAAGTTACAACATTTATGAAAAAGGCAAATTTTAATTCAAATTTTTGTAGATATGACTATTTTTTAAATTTAATTTTGAAATTGAATTTAAATTAAAAACAATATTTCTTATGCTTAAAATTAAGAAATAGTAATTTTATTAATTACCAAATTAACTAAATAATTTTATTAACTAATTAGTAAATTTACTAAACAATTTTATTGATTAATTACACTGAAAAAGAAATTTATTTGATTCAAACAACCGATTACTTGTCTATTATCAAATAAATGTTTACTTGAATCAAATAATTTTTATTTGAGTCAATAAAATTGTATTTGAATCAAATAATTTTTATTTAAGTCAATAAAATTGTATTTGAGTCAACAAAATTGTATTTAAATCAATAATTTAAGTATATTTGAAGCAAGTACAATTTAATTGACTCAAATAAAAATTCTTTGCTTCAAAAGTAAATAACTAAATATTTAATTTGATGATAGTCAAGCGATTGGTTATTTGAATCAAATAAATTATTTTTCCTTGTAATAAATTAACTTAACAAATTGAATAATTAATTAATTAATTGACTAAACAATTTTATTAGTAATTAATTATTAATTAATTAAGTAAATAATTTTATTAAATAATTAAGTAAATAATTTGATTAAATAATTAATACATTTACTAAATAATTTTTAATAAAAATTTTTGGAATATTTATTGATAGAACTTAACAATTTTTTAGATTGAAATTTATCTACATAGGAAGAAAGCGAAGAAATCTACAAAGAATGCAAAGCTTTTATTACTTTCATAGTAAAATCTAAATTGTTAGGAATCTCCGCGCATTTCTGCTTTTCAATTTTTTATATTTTCGAAGTAAATTTTGCTATACGCGCACGAAATAAATTTTTGTGAAGATTAGTAAAGTGCTTCGAACGTAGCAAAATTTACTCCGAAAATAGATGAAATTGCAAACAGAAATTTGCAAAACTTTCGGACAATTCAAGTTTTACTTTGTAAATATAGTAAAAGTAATTTTTTTTTCGTGTAAAAATTCTTTAGTCAACTTGTTGCTAAACTAATAAATCTTCAAAGTTGCAATTAACTTTAATAATTTTAAAAAAAGTATAAAACATGTTTGGTAATTTAAATCTAAAAGGTTTAAAATTATTTAATTAAATTAAACATTGAACAATTGGATACCAAATTAAGAAAATTTCTTGTTGGAAAAGTAAAAAGGAGAAAAGATAGTTTGAAAGAATAACTCTAGAGGCAGCAGTTGCTGGGCACACAAATTTTCTTGAAATTCAATATTCTGAAGCATTTATTTCGATTTTTAAAATATTTTCTTAATTATTCTTCCTTTTTATTCTCAACTTAATAAAGCGAAGTTTTTTGGTTCTTTAATGCAAAAATAATTCAAAAAATAATCATTTTGCACTGTTTTATCTAAAAATCTCTGCTTAAATGTTAAATTTCTTGAAAATAGTTAGAAATAACACTTGATTATTGTAATATAAAATTTTAATGTGAAAAGTGTAAATTTAAATTATTAGTTTAAAGAGAAATTCGTTTTTAACTTTTAATCTGAATTTTTGCACTGACGTACAAAGGGTTGCCTGTTGTGCAGGCGTAAAAATTCGCAGCATTGCAGTTTCCATCCTTACCCGACAATTTAATTGAATAATTTTCAAAATTTGATTTAAAGTAAATTACTATTTTTATTTAATGTAAAAAAAATTTTCTTTAATTTATCTATTGCAATTTTGTATTTTTTAAATGTATTTTATATTTTTCTATTTATTTTGTATTTATTTTGCATTATTTTATTTATATTTTATTTATATTTCACTTAATACGTATTTATTTTGTTAATAATTTTCTCTGAATATTTAAATTATAATAATTAATTACAATTTATAATTTAAACATTGCTGAAACTCACAACATTTATAATCAACGATTTAATGAAAACATATTTTTCTAGTCAAATTTTTAGTTAAAAAAACTTTTTGTAACAATATTTCTTCATCAACAATTGAAAAAATAAAAATTTGCAAAACAAAAATATTGTTTTTGGCATAAAAAATATTTTTTTCTTCAAATCGTTGGATCGTAAATTTTGTGAACTTCACCCGTAAGTATTTTGCAATTATTTTACTAATATTAGATAAATTAACTTACCACATTAACGAAATCCTGAAATGTAATCGCATGTGCACTGATTTCCTTTGCCCTGACAAAAAGGATGTCCCTTTTATTTGCTGGAATTTCAGCGAGCCAATCTGGACTTCTTAAAGCTATGAAAAAATCCTCAATTGGTATTTCTCCAAATCCTTCGGGATCAAACTGTAGAAATAAAAAAATGTTAACTATTTATTTTTTGAAAAAAAGAAAAAGTGCAAAAAAAATAGGATAAATTATTAAATTTACAAAAATTGTATAAAGCATATAAACAAGTTAATGATTTACTTCTTATTCATAATTTGATATTGTCAAAATTGTCATATACTTTAGAATTCCTGTTAGAATTTGATTTAATTTTTACAGTTTAGAAATTAGAGAATAAATAAAATTCATACCTTATCGAATAATAATCGCCATCTCTGGAAATTAAATAATATTTTTCGATTATTTTCAGATTTCTTTTGTTGGAAACAAAATTTGTAATATGCAGATTTGGCTGATGATTGCACTATTGAAATCAAATCGATTACTTACGTCGTTTAACAACTCTCGACGATATTCGGATTCATCGATGTCAATTTCCGAAGCAAGATCTGTATGATCTGTAACGTAACCATCGCATGGACCACTATTTGCTTCGCTTTGAGCGTATTCCTCCTCGATGGCACCGGCAATTGTCGGTATCGAGGCACCAGTTGCTAGCAACATTTCTGCGGAAAGCACGTCATCACCGAATAAGGTTCATTTTCTTTTTTTCTTAATTTTTAAATAGGGATTTTATAAATTTTTCACAGATTTCCTGAAACATAAAATGAAAAATTCAATTATTCCTCCGAATTTTAGAATTGGTAATTTTAATTGATTTTTTGGTTTTTCAAGAGTTCCACTCAAAATTCTCCATACAGTTTTTTTGAAGGTATTAAATATAATGTTAAAAAACCAGTAAAAATCGCTACCAAAAATGTAGATCAAATCATAAGTTGATCTAATTTTTTTGTATCAATTTGATCTAGAATACATGGTTTCAATTTTATGACTTCAAGAAAATTGTAAAGTTTCACTTAACAAACTGTAATACAATTTTTTTCTTAACTAAAATGAGCAATTCCACGTGAACTGATTCAATCAATAATATTAGATATTAAAAGCCATTGTTTCTATTAAAACTGATATAAATTCAACAAAAATTAAAGAATTTTAATTTAATTTGAATAAATTTATATTAAATTCTAGAATAACTTTCTTAATTGAATGTAAACAAAGTTGCGTTTACATTTTTTATAAATAGATGAACTTCAAAAGGTTTTAATTTGAAATTTCCAATATCTACTAATTTAATAAAATTTTCCAAAAGAATTCAATTACATATTTAAAAAAAAATTTGATAAAATTCTGCGCTAACATTTAATTATTTTCATAAATAATAAAGTTTTTTATTTTTAAGGGGATTCAATTATTTTCATAAATAATAAAATTCTTTATCGAAATTCAATTATTTTTATGAATAATAAAAATCATCGCAGAATTTCAATTATTTTTAATACAATATTAATCGAATTCCTCTGAAGAATTTAATTATCTCTTAATTTTTTTTAGATTCTTCGCAAGAATTTAATTACTTTTCCAAAAAAAAATAAAATTTTTCACAGAAATTCAATTATTTTCATAAATAATAAAATTCTTCGAAAAAATTCAATAATTTTCAAAAATTTCCATAAAATTCTTTAAAATGATTCAATAATTTTCAAAAATTTTAATAAAATTCTTTGCACCAATTCGAGTATTTTGATAAATAAGAAAATTCCTCACAAAAATTCAATTATTTATTCAATACAATTTTAATTACATTTTTAGAAAGAATTTAATTATTTTTAATTTCTTAATAAACTTTTATATACCAATTAAATTATTTTCAATACAATTATAATTAAATTTGTCTAAAATAATTTTAGGAATTTAATTATTTTCATAAATAATAAATTTCATCAGAGAAATTCAATTTTTTTTATGCAATTTTAAATCAATTGCTCGATAAATGTAAATTATATTTAAAAATTTTACTTAAATTCTTGGAAAGAAATCAATTTTCAAAAATTTTAATACAATTCTTCATAAAGTATGTTCAATTTTCAAAAGTATTCAATTATTCTATCAATTATATTTTCTTGTATTTACATAATTGAATTCTCGTAGAATTTTCTATAATAAAAATTGATTTGAAAATGAATTTTGGTTAAAATTTTTTATAGTAATTGAATATTTAAAGCTTTATAACGTTAAATCTTTGAAAATTTGAATTTTCCATACGTTTAACAAACAAATCTGTTGAATTAATTTTTTAAAAATTATTTGAAGTTTTTATTTTCTTATATATAATCAAATTGAAGAATTTCCAAATAATCGAAATTTCATAAAATTAAATTGAAAAAAAATGGATTTGAAAATTCTCAAAATTTGAAAATTAAAAAATTATTATTTTTTGCGGCTCAATTATTGATATTTTTTAATTAAAGGCAATGAATGATAATATTTTTTACAGAGATTCCAGATTTTCATGAATAATAAAGCACCGTAGAATTTCAATTATTTTTAATTCAATTTTAATCAAATTCCTCAAAAAATGTAATTATTCTTGAAAATTTGATTAAAAGTCGTCGAAAAAATTCAATTATTTAAAAATTTTGATAATAATTGAATATTAAATGCATTATAGCATGAATTTTTAGAAATAATTGAATTTTGAAAAGATTTCAAATTAAAATCTTTAAAAATTTCAATTTTTCATACTTTTTTTAAAATTTTTTATTTTCTGTATAATTAATTGCAGAATTATATATAATAATCGTCATGATTCCAGATTTCCGGATCTCTGTCCACACTTGAAGTTAGTTATAGTTATTCTTTTGTTTTTTATACGTTTTGATAGAAAATAGAAATATACATATATACATATACATACATTATAATAATCGTAAGTTTCAGCAAATTATCTGCATTCATTTGTTTGTTTTGAAAATTTAATTTTGTGGGTTAAGTATTGGCATTTTTTATATATTTTTTAATGTCAAACTTTTTAATGTGGAAAATACTTTACTTATTAAATTGTCTCGACTCTTTGGTAAAAAATCTAAAATTATCAAAAATTCGAAAAATTTCAAAAATCCGTTTTTCTTAAAATTCAACATTTTTTCTTCTTTTTTATGGGATTTAGCTTCATTATTTTTGTGCTTTTGGAAAATACTTTATATATTTAATAGTCATGACTCTTTGGTAAAAAATCTAAAATTATCAAAAATTCGAAAAATTTCAAAAATCCGTTTTTCTTAAAATTCAACATTTTTTCTTCTCTTTTATGGGATTTAGCTTCATTATTTTTGTGCTTTTGGAAAATACTTTACTTATTAAATTGTCTCGACTCTTTGGTAAAAAATCTAAAATTATCAAAAATTCGAAAAAATTCAAAAATCCGTTTTTCTTAAAATTCAACATTTTTTCTTCTCTTTTACGGGATTTAGCTTCATTATTTTTGTGCTTTTGGAAAATACTTTACTTATTAAATTGTCTCGACTCTTTGGTAAAAAATCTAAAATTATCAAAAATTCGAAAAAATTCAAAAATTTGATTTTCTTAAAATTCAACATTTTTTCTTCTCTTTTATGGGATTTAGCTTCATTATTTTTGTGCTTTTGGAAAATACTTTACTTATTAAATTGTCTCGACTCTTTGGTAACAAATCTAAAATTATCAAAAATTCGAAAAAATTCAAAAATCCGTTTTTCTTAAAATTCAACATTTTTTCTTCTCTTTTACGGGATTTAGCTCCATTATTTTTGTGCTTTTGGAAAATACTTTACTTATTAAATTGTCTCGACTCTTTGGTAAAAAATCTAAAATTATCAAAAATTCGAAAAAATTCAAAAATTTGATTTTCTTAAAATTCAACATTTTTTCTTCTTTTTTATGGGATTTAGCTTCATTATTTTTGTGCTTTTGGAAAATACTTTATATATTTAATAGTCTCGACTCTTTGGTAAAAAATCTAAAATTATCAAAAATTCGAAAAATTTCAAAAATCCGTTTTTATTAAAATTCAACATTTTTTCTTCTCTTTTACGGAATTTAGCTTCATTATTTTTGTGCTTTTGGAAAATACTTTACTTATTAAATTGTCTCGACTCTTTGGTAAAAAATCTAAAATTATCAAAAATTCGAAAAAATTCAAAAATTTGATTTTCTTAAAATTCAACATTTTTTCTTCTCTTTTACGGGATTTAGCTTCATTATTTTTGTGCTTTTGGAAAATACTTTACTTATTAAATTGTCTCGACTCTTTGGTAAAAAATCTAAAATTATCAAAAATTCGAAAAAATTCAAAAATTTGATTTTCTTAAAATTCAACATTTTTTCTTCTCTTTTATGGGATTTAGCTTCATTATTTTTGTGCTTTTGGAAAATACTTTACTTATTAAATTGTCTCGACTCTTTGGTAAAAAATCTAAAATTATCAAAAATTCGAAAAAATTCAAAAATCCGTTTTTCTTAAAATTCAACATTTTTTCTTCTCTTTTACGGGATTTAGCTCCATTATTTTTGTGCTTTTGGAAAATACTTTACTTATTAAATTGTCTCGACTCTTTGGTAAAAAATCTAAAATTATCAAAAATTCGAAAAAATTCAAAAATTTGATTTTCTTAAAATTCAACATTTTTTCTTCTTTTTTATGGGATTTAGCTTCATTATTTTTGTGCTTTTGGAAAATACTTTATATATTTAATAGTCTCGACTCTTTGGTAAAAAATCTAAAATTATCAAAAATTCGAAAAATTTCAAAAATCCGTTTTTATTAAAATTCAACATTTTTTCTTCTCTTTTACGGAATTTAGCTTCATTATTTTTGTGCTTTTGGAAAATACTTTACTTATTAAATTGTCTCGACTCTATGGTAAAAAATCTAAAATTATCAAAAATTCGAAAAATTTCAAAAATCCGTTTTTATTAAAATTCAACATTTTTTCTTCTCTTTTACGGAATTTAGCTTCATTATTTTTGTGCTTTTGGAAAATACTTTACTTATTAAATTGTCTCGACTCTTTGGTAAAAAATCTAAAATTATCGAAAATTATCAAAAATTCAAAAATCCGATTTTCTTAAAATTCAACATTTTTTCTTCTCTTTTACAGGTTTTAGCTTCATTATTTTTGTGCTTTTGGAAAATACTTTACTTATTAAATTGTCTCGACTCTTTGGTAAAAAATCTAAAATTATCAAAAATTCGAAAAAATTCAAAAATCCGTTTTTATTAAAATTCAACATTTTTTCTTCTTTTTTATGGGATTTAGCTTCATTATTTTTGTGCTTTTGGAAAATACTTTACTTATTAAATTGTCTCGACTCTTTGGTAAAAAATCTAAAATTATCAAAAATTCGAAATATTCAAAAATTTGATTTTCTTAAAATTCAACATTTTTTCTTCTTTTTTATGGGATTTAGCTTCATTATTTTTGTGCTTTTGGAAAATACTTTATATATTTAATAGTCTCGACTCTTTGGTAAAAAATCTAAAATTATCAAAAATTCGAAAAATTTCAAAAATCCGTTTTTATTAAAATTCAACATTTTTTCTTCTCTTTTACGGAATTTAGCTTCATTATTTTTGTGCTTTTGGAAAATACTTTACTTATTAAATTGTCTCGACTCTTTGGTAAAAAATCTAAAATTATCAAAAATTCGAAA